AGCTACTAATTAGCTTAGAGCATCAGCTGAACGCTCTCATCAATCAGTGGCTCCCTCTCCTGGCAGCACTCCACACTTAATGTGACTCGGTTTCAGAAGCACTGAGGAACCTGGAGACCGGCACTGAAGACAGCATTTGGGGTAAAACCATTCATAAATGGATTAATCCCTTAAGGTAAGAGAGTGCCCAGGGGGGCTCCCAGCACTATAACAAATTTACTTATCTGAATGTTCCTTTAGTAAATATGACAATACAAAGAATCATGTGACTGTGTGGTATGTTTGTTAGTGCCAGACCTGGTTGTTTCTGCATAACATAATCGTTTGACCTCCTGGGATGTTCAGTATTCTAGCATTTGCAAAGAATGTTGTAAACAGAAAAGAGCATCCTGTAAGTAACAGTTCTCTGAGCAATAAGTGTTGTAAATGAGTTAGGTCAGAGAAGATTAGCCTGGGTCATTGAAGCCAAAAAACAAATCATGCCAAAAAGAAACAAACAAAAAAAAACATCTATCATCTCAAGCTAGCTCCATAATCACATGATCGTACCAATGCCTTCAGTTTAGTACAGTACTCTGTGTAATACTTCAGTTCAGTTTACTCCAGTACTCTCTAATCAACAAGAGTACTTTCAGAATGAGATAGTAGGAGGTACACAAATATGGTCAATATACCTTCAGTAACTGGTAGTTCTATCAAAACATCATGGATCAGATCCTTAATGAGTATTTCAAACTGCAAACCCTCAGGTCTGTTCTGATGGTAATTGGGATTTCTATCTGGTACTAGATAGGTCTACCTAGTATAGTGGCTAATGAATGTGCGTTCATAAGCAAACTTGTACTTCATTTGTAGCAATGTTACGCTCTTTTGTTTACAAAAAGATTTGTTTTCTAGTTCTGAGAGAGTATTCATAGTAGACACCATATTGACGCATACAAATCTGCCACAAACTTATACTTTATTTTAAATGGTTGATTGAATACAGGAATTTAAAAACATCAGAGGAGAGAACTACAATGTAGTTTATTTCTATACGCAGCATTCACGGAAGCATGGTTCATTGTAAATATAGTGGATTGTAATAGGTACTAATTTGCATTTTGTCCTTCTTTTCCTCCTACATGGTTATTTGATTAAGTAAATCATTTTTTCTCCCTAAGCCAAGGAATTGTTTCATTTGCATTTTGTTTAATTGTTTAAACTCTGAGTACTTCAAAAAATTTGCGATGTTTTGGCCAAAATAATAACGACATTTATGACATTACATGGAGGTCCAATGGCTGTAGAAGGAAAGCAATAAAAAAGTCAGTTGTTGGACTTTTTATATTCGTTTAGTTCATTTGGGACCAATTTATGATAAATTAATTTCAAGAGATACTACACTATTTGACTTGGTCAGTAGTCACTTGGTATAATTCCTGTCCAACAGGTAGTTATAGTTATCCCCACAGCTCTATCACATGTTCTCTACCACAGCCATCATTATATAAGCCCATCATATGCATCACTTGTATAATACTGAGGACCATCACCAACAACTGTAGCAGAAACATTCACAAAGAACAGACATTGCCAATCATCATTACTGCAGGATTATATTATGCTCCAACTTTTCCCTAACCTGCTTAAAGGGATACTATAGTCACCAGAACAACTACAGTTTACTGTATTTGTTCTGTTGAGTATAATCAGTCCCTTCAGGCTTTTTGCAGTAAACACTGTCATTTCAGAGAAAAGGCATTGTTTATATTACAGCCTAGGGATACCTCCACTGGACACTCCTCAGATGGCTGCTAGAAGTGCTTCATGGGGCAGTGAAGCACAGTGTGGGGTCAGATGGTGTTTTCAACACTTTAGGATCAGGAATACATGTTTCTGTTTGGTCAGGTTCTCTGGTTTTCTACTCCAGATACAAGGTTGAATTTTATTTCTCAATAGTATATACAACAGGTTCATCAGGGTCACCAACATTCCCACTTGTATCTAAAAAATGCTCTATTCCCTGAGTTACACTAAGTGCAGTCTAGTCTTCACGTACTGCAAGATTTATTGTAAGAACTAAATAATGTATCTTATTCCTTGCTTTCAGTCTACATGTTCTTGGCAGTTCATCCTAATCCTACTAGGATAGATCTCCTCTGGCAGAAATGTGAATGGAAATATCTCATTAAATAATACATAGGTACCTATGCTCTATTACGATATTTCATTGCCCTCAAAACATTTGTTCATACTAGAATGGAAGCATAGCTCCTACAGTAGAAATGATTTGTTGTGTAACGCTAAATGTATTGAATATGTGAAAGTATATTATGTACGAACATATGGCAGATATTATGACAATGCCATTTATGTTGTGAGTGAGTGTCCTGAAAGGACTTTACACTTTGTCATTAGATTTAGTGTATTAGCATTTTGTTAACTATTGACTTTTTAATAGAAATTAACTGCTTTAAAATGAAATAAATACATAAATAAATTAATTAAAGGGATTCTATAGTGGAAAGAATACAAAGCTATATTCCTTGCACTATACTTCACTCTGCTGACCCACAGAGGTAAAAGTGTGGATTTTGTTTACTGCTCCTCACGTTTTCCCGCTACTGATAACTTTTTCTCATTTGATCTCTGAACAAAATGGCGGGAACATGCTCATCAGCTTACTGTAAAAAATATATAAATATACATATATAATATTATGTATAAGTTTTGCAGTACACTGATTGCTCCATTTTTGTGGCCTTTTGGTTCATCTGATTTGTTTCCGGAATCCGCTTTCGCCACAGAAATTCTACCCAATTCTACAGAACCGCTATTTGGCTGAAATTCATCTGATCAATTTTTTTTAAATGTAATAAAAAATGTATCAACCAATCCAAATTTTCTAATTAACCCCTGGCTGTGCAACAGCAGCGCTGAAGGGGTCTTCAGACTTCCTCGAGTGCATCATGTATCTACTTTTTACTACAGATAAAGAAAGTATGAAAAGCCAGAAACATTCATATGCTTAATATTTGCATTTTCTTGTGGTTTAAACTGGCTCTTCCAAACAAAATCATCTGCATTGCCATGTAGCACTTTTCACATAAAAAATAACTGAATAAAATATTTCTGACTATTTTTTGCTTTTCATTGGTAACAATGGGCACACACCCCCCTTTCCTGCCGAGCTAAAACCTAAAAGTTACATATCTTAATTGGTTGTTGACATCCTAGGTGCTTTGTCTTCTTATCAATGCAGATGTTATTATAGGTGATTATTATAGGTAAACTGACTATTGTTTGGTTAGATAAAAATAATATACAATGACATAAACTGTATGGAATTTAGTACATTAAAGGACCACTCTAGGCACCTAAACCACTTCAGCTTAATGAAGTGGTCTGGGTGCCAGGTCCAGCTAGGCTTAACCCATTCTTTTATAAACATAGCAGTTTTTCTATGTTTATGAATGGGTTAAGCCTTCCCCCAAATCCTCTAGTGGCTGTCTCATTGACAGCCGCTAGAGGCGCTTGCGTGATTCTCACTGTGATTTTCACAGTGAGAGCACGCAAGCATCCATAGGAAAGCATTGCACCCTCAGGGCACTATAGTGCCAGGAAAACGAGTATGTTTTCCTGGCACTATAGTGGTCCTTTAATAAATATTTTAGACACGGTGCTACTTCAAAAAAATCAACGTATATTTTCAAAGCAATATCTAGCATTAAAAGTCTTTTGAAAGTATTATATTCGGAAGAGTGCAAAGCACAGCACATTTTGAAGAGTTAGGCATAATTAATCTATTTGATTAAGTAATACAAATAGGATTTTTTTTAAATGACACATTTTGCATAAGAGTGGGCTACATTCTATTGTCAAAGATTCTCTTATAATAAACTATTGTTTTACTGTCGACTGAGTTATATATGTTTACATTTGCTAAGGAATGCACAATTTATCAAATTAATGTGCATTTAACTGGTTCGGAATGTCATTTATTTAGTGATCTTTTGGCATGTTCACTGAAGTTTGTCAGATTAACATTTTTCTTTCCCTTCCTTGATAATATATACCAATTCCATTGAGACATGCATGTGGGAAGCGATATCTGATTTATATTGTACTAGATCTCATTAAGCTTCATCTGTTAGTAATCACAGGCTTAAAATGACTGAATTAGGTTGTGGATGCGTGGATAAATTTACCCGTTCTAAATCTGTAGTTTACAGTTCATCTGTTTATTTCTAAACACGCTCTCAATGCACCCATCTCGTGTTGACTGGGACAGTCTTGGAATAGAGAGGTATGTCCCTAGTCTGAGATATATGTAAGTACATGTAAGACACAAATGTTGAAACTTCACATCCAAAGTTATTAAACCCTTTGCAAATACTATTTCAGGATTATTTACTAAAATGTGAATTATGAAGAATTAAAGGTCATTTCAAAGTGAAAATTTTAGGCAGAAATAGTTAAACTAATTAATCTGTTATGGCTTTACATTTAAAATTATGTTGGAATAAAATTTCCCAACAGTTTACACAACAAGTGATTAACGTTCTGATGCTCTGTTAAAACACTGTCAAATTGAATATTATTCAAACATCATTTGACAGCCAGCCTACATTTAATTGGAAGTTGATCCTACAAAACTTTAGAAATAATATACTGACCACATGGACATGAAACTGAAGGAGTCTGGGCAGGGCCGGGGTTTCATGGCGGCGGCACGCATCTCGAGAGTGCTCCTCAGCTACTAACCGAATCTTGACAGATTACCTTTTGGGTGTGATCACTCACAGCACCCTTAGGGACTCACCTAAAGCCTGAACCCAGCAAGGTATCTTAGATGACCCCACAAAGCAATACCTGCTTGATCCACCTCAAAATCCAGACAAGGTCTAGTGCATGCAGCGGGCGGGGGAGGCAGTTGCTTTCCTGCTCTGTGTAACAGAGCCCGGCTGACTTCTTGCTGATGACTTCTTTCAACCCCCCTCCACTCCCCTCTGGGCCAGCGGGGGTTATCCACTGCAAAGTGCAAATATTCTGTGTGGCTCAAAGAATGCTCCAACTTGCCTGCATCACAAAATAAACTGTGCCAAGATGGCGGACACAGCCACCCCTCACTCACACAGCTTATCCAGACATCAGCCTGCCACCATCCAAAGCACCCTGAAGAAGATCGACTAAATATTTTAATGCTTCTGGGTAGCCTTGGAAGAAAGGGCTCAAACATCACTTCGCACCAGGGACTTACCTCTACTTCGTCGGGCCAAGTCACAGCCTCCAGAGTCCAACCAGCTGCCTGGAACAACTTGATAGGGCCCCCTGTACAGGTTCCCGGATGGGTGCTGCAGAAGAAAAGATGCAAGTGGCTGCAGGGTCTTGCCCCAACGCCATTGTACCTCACCCAAAGCCAGGCAGGTGAATTCACTGACTCCCGAAGCGTCCCACAAAGCTCAGTGGCCTGTCACACACGTAGCTACGCTGGCCTCGCGACCAGTGATCACAAGCTTCTACCTGAGGAGAGGATGTCTGCAGTTAGGGGGGCTCTTGGGTTGTACCACTACTTGGGCACGGCGGAATGACTTCATCATCATGGCTAACAGTGGCCGAGGCAGGTACTCTCCCCCTTTGGGAATCGGCTGACTGATTCTCACACCATGCTGCCAACTCAGCTGTCTCATTCCAGACCACGCTAAGCAACCTCCATGCACTGTTTTGCTGTTTGATTTTTATGTTTAGGAATAGCCGAGCTCCACTAGCCATATGCAGTTTATTTTTGTTAAAATTAAGCTGAACTGAGTTATGTTCCTTTTACTATTTTTCAGCACGTGTCCTGATAATTTTGTTGTATCTCTTGTAAAAGGCCCAGCTATGCATGCTTATTCTGCCAACACGTTACTAACATCACCATTGGCATTGTTTATATTATTTTGGTACTGTTTTGACTATGTTATTTCTTTTTATGCTTTAATGATACATGGGTGACTGCTGACTATTTCTGTCCTCCAACTCACACCATTCGGAGTCTGGCTTGTTACTAACTAATAACCCCTCCTATCCCCTGCTATCCCCTTGGTTAGGGGCCCACCTCACTTGGTGCACACGCCTTGATACGAACACCTACATTGCTACCAACATGGGCTGACTAATCTAGAACCTCACCAATGCAGTGTGCTGTGCACCTTTAAACCACTACATGTTTCAAGCATGACCTTATAACCAAATATGCTGTCCAGTAACAAATTGTACCTCTACCGCTCAGGTATATGACCTATGTCTCAGCATACATTGATTCTCTCTCCATACAGGGTCCAAAAACCACTAGTTAAGCTTACCACTTTATGCACTTCAGACACATTACTGGTCTGTTGTCCCCTGTTTTGCATAATTTTGTTTGTTATAAAAAAAAAAGATTGGGTGCAATTACATCTTTTTGCAAAATGTATTGTTAATATTAATGTATGCTCCTGTACACAATCTTGCATACTTGAACATGACGTACCACAAAAATAAAGAATTAAAAAAAAAAACTGAAGGATTCCTTACGTGTTCCTTTTAAGTGTCAGGGGCACTTCTCCTATCTGCATTGCCGGTCTGTCAGCAGCCATTTCCTTGCGGTGTAAGTTGATCCCTGTTGGGAGATACCTTCGATCATGTACACATACTAAAACTGGAAATTTGTTCATGATCCTGAAGAAGGACATTCCAGCGCATCCAAGACCTAATGTATTGTACGTCAACTGTCCTTCAGGGTTCCCACTTCTAAGAAGAAGACTGTAATGCCATGGGTGCAGGAGGGTTACTTAATTACAACTGAGATGCATATATTCATATGACGATCCATTTGGAGTTTGCTTTACTATACCAGTACTACAAGTTTATCTCCTTAGAGTATGATGGTGGTTGACATGTCATTTCAGTTCATGTACCGGGGCTAATCAAAATTAAGTTGTTATTTCCTGAGGTTCAACTCTGAAGTTTTGCTCCACTTGCTCTCAACATAATATTTTCTGGATCCTTTCTAGTTAAAAAGGCTTTAGCTACCACACTTGCCAATTGTCTCAAGTCCATGATCTGGCTAATTAGCCTCCCACCGACAAGGTCACTGATTATGCTACTCAGTGTTGGCTACCACTTGAGCCTTTCATCATGAAAATTACATGGACAAATCTGCAAGCCACTTTGTTGTCCTTGCATACATTTTTAAAATTTTATCATTTTATTTTTGAATCTATTATTGCTACTTTTGACAGGAATGTACGAAATTCAGTTTTTTATTTTGTCCTTGTCCCTATCTATCTTACTTTTGAGGTTTTCTAATGTCCTGCTTTACTTGTTAATAATATTCCACTTGTTAAGACTTGTGGGCTTTCACCAATCAAGAAAGGTTTCAGATGGTGTAAATCCACAAGGTCTCATAGTTCATTGGGTGCCTTGGCTTGTTCTTCAACTATCACAACATGTAGGTTCTCAATGTAGAAGGATACACTGATTTGGATTTTCCACTTGTGGGTAAGTGAAATTGTGTCTGTAGAAAACTTTGTAAAATTACTTTTCTTTGCTTCTGAAAAGTTAATTCAATCATCAATCAATTTACATTGATGGGGGAACCTGATATTCTGGTATTGTTAGAAAAACTCTTAAAGTTAAATCAACTCTACATTTACACAACTGTAGTTTGAAAACATGATATATCACAAAGCAAGAAAAGATATAGTTTAAAAAAAAAACGACAACTATATATACAGAATAAAAGGAAGGTTTATACTGTGCAATAGTGTTGGCCTATGGAAGTTGTTTATCACGTGAATGTCATGAAATGCATTGCATTTAGTGGGTGCTGTGTCATGTAGGTTTTCAGTAAAATGTGGATTGTGTTTTTGAAAATTTAGAAGTGAACAAGAATTCTATGTTTCTACTACACTAGATGAGTCGGCAACCCATTGACATTTAAAGTGGTCTTTATTTTAGTCCGTAATAGCTTTAAAGAACAAGTCACCATTTTGATGGACATAAAAATGTAATATTACAAATAGCACATCAATTAATATAAGTTGAGGCTGGTTCATCTATTGCTCTGGTAAGTACTGATGATAAGTGTGTATTAGGAACAAAAAGTAAAAAAAAAATAATAACGTTGTGACCTTTAAAGAAAAAAATACAACATAATAGAGTTAAAATGGACAACACCGCGTTAATACAAGTTGCGGATCTAATGGTATTGTTGCGCAAATGGGTCGCTAATAGAAATTGTACTCACAGGTTGTCTGTCATAACTATATCTGCAGTTTATTCCTTCCCCTTTATTTGTGACGGGAGATGGGGCAGAGCAGAGAGGCCAAGCTACTAATCAAGATTTGTTTTCAAGATCATTTTTAATGAAATGTTATTATTGGACTTGGTGAGTATAGATCCCTCAGATGTGCTTAGTCTGCTCTAAAGGGATTTCTGATGCCTCTTATTGGATTTCCATTCGGCTGCAAGGTTGCCCTTGCTGGAGGTGTGTTTTCCTTTACAACAAAGTATCTTAATGCCTTGACATACGTTTAATTTAAATGAAATATTGACAATTAAGTAACTTTCTTGCAACATCATTGTCAGGAGAGAACCATTCAGCATGTAAACCATCACTTTAAGTTTGCGCATGAATTTTCACTTTGCTATGGTGGGAGAGACTACATATTTAATTTGAGAGTCCTTAAAAACCGAAGAACTGAATCAAGCTGTAGAAAATCATGCAAATACCTCAACAATGTCCAAGCGTTGTATGTTAAATGAGTGTTCTGCTAAGAAATCAAAACACTTTCAATTATACTGATGAAAAAACATGCCTAGCCCCCATTTCCAGACTAATTTAATTACTGTGCAAAATGTTGGTGTTTATTTGATCTAATGCTTGTGAAAATAATTAAATCCAAGGCCTCACAACGATTCAGGTTAATGCAGTTGACACCGTTTTGGTGTGTTAAAGCACATACCCAAAGTGCAGAGAATGAATTTCGTATTGTTAATATAACAATTAACCATGGTTAAGGATTGCAGGAATTAGCATGGTCTTAACTGTGTTAATGGTCACGTTTATAAGTTATGGCTGATTTAGTTTCATCAGTTCTTTGCCAATTGAATCTTTTGTTTGTTTGAAAGCTAAACAACTCACCTAGAATTCATACTTTGAATTTATTTCTATATTTATTGTGCATTCGTAAAGCAGAGAGTTTTAATAAAAAAAAAAAAAAAAAATTATATTTTTCTTTTTGGATGAATTTTTACTAAAAAAACTATAGACCTATCTATTCACATTTTCCGGTTTAACAATAAAGTACTTTTCTTTTAAATGCATGTGTTTTGACTAAATGCACATTTGTGGTTGAATCAGAAGATGTCAACGATTAAAAACAAACAAACAAAACACCTAAAATATATGTGGTTAACATATACATAAAACTGGATATGTGAGAATAAAAATATATGTACATTCTCGAAGGAAAATTATTGTAATCTGTTATTATTGTTTAAAATAAAAGATTAGACATTTAATTAGGAATTAGGAAGTGCCTCTAGTAGCTGTCAGTGGTTGACATCCGGTAGAGCTGTGCTTCTTGCCCAATGCAAAAATTTGGAACAGGGTCTAGGCAACGAAACCACTTCATTAACATGTCGGTACAGGTGTGAACTGAGGAAATTAGTAAGTCTTTAGCAAAGCAAATAGTTTGCAATGGAACATGCTACTAGGGTGGGTATGGGCATTGGAAGACTGCTATAAAGGGCTTTAAAAAAACGTATGCAAAATTACAATTTGAACTTTAATTAATTTGCTCATCCTTTCATAGAAATATTAACTGCCTATTGAGCCAGTCCGTGACTCCCCTGCAAGGCAGCAACTCTAGTAGATAATGGAGCCCGCCTCTGCCTTTTTTGTGGGTGGCGCTGTAGTATCCCCCTGATTGTGACTCTAACTGTAGCCCACCCACAAAAGAAGAGACAGGCGGGCTCCATTGGCTGCTAGAGTTGCTGCCATCCGGGGGGTATCGCCAGTGGGCTTAATAGGCAGTTAACATTGCAGGGGCGCCAAAAGCAGCTTTTTTGGGTGAGGTTTTTTTTTTGCCACCCCCTGCTAAATAGTGCCACTCACCCAAGGCAAATGCCTTCTCAGCCTCCTGATAGACACAGCGCTGTCTACTATCTAATATATGAACAACTGAACAATGAGATGCATTTGTGGCAATTATTCGGTATCATTAAACATTTCACCATGGACTTAAATTATTATTGCCTTTAAATTAGCAATTATTAGAAAATTGACCTCCTGGTGTTAATGAACTTTACAGATAATGCATTAAAATATACAAAACAAATTTAAAGTAAAAAAAAAAAATATTCACCTTCAAAACTCCTGCAGATGCACACCCAAGAA